TCAGTTTTAGTAGTTATGATTCTTTGGAAACCAGTTTAAGAATGGCTATCATTGTTAGAGTTTTACGAGTTCAAAAATAACACCTTTTTTTCTTCTTCTTGAGTTGAAAACCAGTAAGAGAGAAATACTGGGCAGATAACTACTAGATAGCAGGACTGTAGATCTGCAGCTAACTTGTTCACCTGCTTTTGGGTGGCATGGACCACTGCAGACTTCCCCTGAAAGGGCAGATCAGAAGAAAGAAAATCCAGAAGTGGCTGAACCACATGGCCCAGCATCTTCCCCAGACTTTCCAGTCATCTATCATTCCTTTCCTGCTAAGCAAGAGAGGGAGAAAAGAGGCCAGGGATCTTATTCCAGAAAGAACTGGAAGTAATTGTCCCCCCTCTTCTCAACAAGATGCTTATTTATGTTTTATCTTTTATAAATGTAGACAACAGAGTTTTACTGTCATGAATTAGTAATGGCTCAACAGCCACCCTCTCTCACTCAGTAATGACTAGCATAAGAAGGCTTAAGGTCACCTTTCCAAAACTCAAATCATCATTTATTTCCCCGCACTCTCTACAACATTGTTAACAGAACTATTGAACAAGTCAGTTCTTTGGACAGAGTCCATATTGCAGTTTGCTTATCATGAGGGTTATTAGATATTACACGGCTTGAAAAAATAGATGTCTTGTGAAAACTCTAGTGAAATTTGAATAGTCATGTGATCTGTTTTGTAAGTTTTTAGGCTAAAACTGTCAGGGTGTGTGCCCATTATGAATCAAGTTTAATTATAATACATTCATGGGGGATGATGTTCTAGGAAGCGTAAAATCCAGAAACACAGGTTACTGAGTTTTAATCCCAGCCCTGCCATGCACTAGCTATGCAACCTCAAACAAGTTCTAGTTCCATATCTTCTCTCGGCTTCATTTTTCTGAATTATAAAATGGGGAAAGTCAGAACACTTTCCTCATAAGAATGTTATGAAGCTTAAATAAGAAAATGCAGGCAAAACATTTATTAGGTTTGGGGCACAACAATTGCTCAGTATAGGTTCATTAAATATTATGTATATTACAAGAATATTATTTTTATGTATTATTTTTGTAATCCAGAACATTAGGCAATTATATAACATATTATTTTACTCCCTCATTTTCTGATTTCTGCTTTTCTGGGTTAAGTTTTGGCCATTGATCTATACTGAGGGGCATTATAAAACAGCTGTTTGAAACTTACCATCTTCATTCAGGAAGAGTTGTTGGGGACTATGTTTCATAGCATCATCTCTGTAAAGACCTTGGGGGAAATAGTTCCTACAGGTCTCAGTCTAAAGAATTGATGTCCCTTTCCCATGCATTGGGTTTGTGTTTCTATCTTAAATTGTATGACAGAGCATGTTTCCTTTTTTAAATTGCTCTTGAAGAAGCTCGGCAACAAACTTGCAGCCCTCTGTTAACAAAGTGGACTCTATGTTGTGACATATATTTTAAATACTAATCTTAGCCTTCATCTCTTTCCCCCACCTCATCTTTATGTTCTCTTCCTCCCCAGTTTCTTCACATAATTTTTATCTTCTTTTTTCTACGTCTTTGTAAGAGACTACACATACTTTCTGAATGAGAAGAAACATAGATATATATTTAAAATAAAAATGTGAGTGTAAAATAAATCTTTAAACCTTAGGAACATACTTGACCTAATGAAATAGTTGTGGGTAATTTCATTTGATTAGTTTTTTGGTCATTGTATAAAACTGGTTTGAATTAAAATGCTTTAGGTGATTTGTGACATGGGTGGCTGTACAACGTCACTACAGTGTCACTCATCTCCCTTGAGCTTGTGATTATATGCTCTTCCATATCAAGCACATAACTGTATGTGTTGTTGCTCTTGCCTAGCAGCTGTGCAGATAAAATTGGCGTGTTTCTCTTGTATTCTTCTTTTTAAACAAATTTATTTATTTATTTATTTTTGGCTGTATTGGGTCTTCGTTGCTGTGTTCAGGCTTTCTCTAGTTGCGGTGAGTGGGGGCTGCTCTTCGTTGCGGTGCGCGGGCTTCTCATTGTCATGGCTTCTCTTGTTGCGGAGCACGAGCTCTAGGTGTGCAGGGTTCAGTAGTTGTGGCACGTGGGCTCAGTAGTTGTGGCTTGCGGGCTCTAGAGCGCAGGCTCAGTAGTTGTGGCACATGGGCTTAGTTCCTCCGTGGCATGTGGGATCTTCCTGGGCCAGGGCTTGAACCTGTGTCCCTTGCATTGGCAGGCAGATTCTTAACCACTGCGCCACCAGGGAAGCCCTCTCTTTTATTCTTGAGTGAGTAGAGTTAAGGTTTTAGAGTGCCACAAAATGGTAGTAATGGAGTATCAAAAGACTTGACAATTAATGCATCCTTTATAAGGGAAAGTGAGGTTAAGGTGACAGGGCAGATTGTGGGTACTGAAAGAATTATATATAGCAGGGGGAAGAGTTATATATAGCAGGCAAGAAATGTATAACCAGCGGCACCAAACAATCAGAATTTTTATTTGCTGTTGGCTCACGTTCTATTTAGGGAATATTTTGAGGTTTTATATTGTTTTAGTAGTTTCAAGGTATTTTATGTCTGTTTACAGTGGTTATAATTATTTTCTGTCTTTGAAACCCAAATCTTGAATATTGAAAACTATTATTTTTCCCTAATCCTAATTTCCTTCCCCCCAAATCTAATCAGTTATCAAATCCCATTACATCTTCCTTTGAATTCCCATTAGTCAAATTAGGGACTATAGGAGGCGAGCTTAAAATCCTTTTAATCTCTAAATGTCCACAGGTCTCTGCCCATAATCTCTAGTCTTCTTGCCTAGATTCAGTAGACTCTTAAAGAGTTCTTCGTGTTTGGCCTTTTGCTTCTCAAATTCATTTTTATATCTCATCAGCAAGTGAACCTGTTTCATTGCCATCATGGCTGGCTGGCTGTTGCCTACAAGACTATCTAATGATGATTCAGCTTCTCAAGTGATACATCATTAGGATGAGTTAGTTTTAATTGCACTAGTGGTAGTCTCAGAAAGTGGAAATTCCTTTTAGTTTGTTTTAAGGATGCTAAGAAGTAATGAAGTTTTCCCTAAGAATTTTAGATATTCCAGAAATAATACTTTGTACTTTGAGGAATTTAGGACAAAATAAGAGTGTCTATAAATCATGTCTAGCATATACATATTAGCTGCTAATATAATTTCTCAGTGTTTTTTTTTTTTTTTTGCGGTACGCGGGCCTCTCACTGTTGTGGCCTCTCCTGTTGCGCAGCACAGGCTCTGGACGCGCAGGCTCAGCGGCCATGGCTCACGGGCGCAGCCGCTCCGCAACATGTGGGATCTTCCCGGACCGGGGCACGAACACGTATCCCCTGCATCAGCAGGCGGACTCTCTACCACTGCGCCACCAGGGAAGCCCTCTCAGTGTTTTTTGGCTGGAATTTAATGCTATAATTCTGGTTTTTGATGCCAGAATGCATTTATATGCTTCTTATTTGCTTGTATTTTATTTTACATTGAACAACGTATAAGTTCTATTTTGAAATTATGGCAAAGATTCTGTAGTCAAAATCCATCACCAACACTGGAGAGACTACTAAATATGAAATTTTAAGTCTTATTCAAAGGAATTGTGGTGGCATGTGGGATCCTAGTTCCCCAACCAGGGATCGAACCTGAGCCCCCAGCATTGGAAGCTCTGGGTCTTAACCACTGGATTGCCAGGGAAGTCCTTAAAAGAATTTTAAGCGTTCTAATAGGTGTGACTCCTGTGGTCAGACTGTAATCAGCTACCTTTTAATAATAATAAGTACAAATACTATTAAAGTTGTACAGAGAGCAGTAACACTCGTATTGTTGATATGTTTTCTTGCTTTGCAACATATATCATGGCATAACAGCTATATCAGGGGGAAAATATGTAGAAACATATTTATCTGTTGTTCTCAGTTAAGTAGTTTGTTATGTTATTGCATTTTTCTTTGTATGATGGGTTTTTTTTTTCACCACTAGAATAAACCCGGATGGTTGTTTTAATTTTTTTTTTTTTTTTTTGCGGTACGCGGGCCTCTCACTGTCGTGGCCTCTCCCGCTGCGGAGCACAGGCTCAGCAGCCATGGCTCACGGGCCCAGCCGCTCCACGGCATGTGGGATCTTCCCGGACCGGGGCACGAACCCATGTCCCCTGCATTGGCAGGCGGGCTCTGAACCACTGTGCCACCAGGGAAGCCCCGGTTGTTTTATTTTATTTTATTTATTTATTTATTTTTGCGGTACATGGGCCTCTCACTGTTGTGTCCTCTCCTGTTGCGGAGCACAGGCTCCGGACGCGCAGGCTTAGCGGCCATGGCTAACGGGCCCAGCCGCTCTGCGGCATGTGGGATCTTCCTGGACCGGATCACAAACCCATGTCCCCTGCATCGGCAGGCGGACTCTCAACCACTGCGCCACCAGGGAAGCCCCGGTTGTTTTAATTTTTATAGCATTGAAAGAAACAATGTAGTGTCCATATCAAGTTTAGAATCATAATTTTCGAAAATGAGTCACAATCAAGACATACATACATATTGATTAGTTATTAAGGCACGGCCATATCAATAATAGCAATGCTACTTGTAACAAAAATCAAGTAGAATGTACTAGCTTTTCCTTGTAGTAGTTTTTCCCTTCAAGTTACTAACTTGATATGAGATTGCGTCTTATTTATACATTACAAATGCTTATTCTGTTTATGGCTATATAGTATAAATAGCATGCGCTAGCGTTTAATAAAGTTTATAATTTTCTGATAAATTTGGTATTTGGTATATGGCATGTAGTTTTTTTAAATAAAAGTTTATACACATGAACAAAAATAGACTGCATTCTGAATGTGTGCATATCAATATTTCAGCCTTTTAAAAAGTTATTAAAATGATTAAAAAATACTAATTACGTAAATACTGTACTTTTTTTTTTATAGAACTTTCACCCATAATCTTTTTTTTTCTTTTAAAGATCAGTGGATAAATCTGTCATAGTGTATGATACTGTAAGTATTTCAAAATCTTGTATGATCTGTATAAATTATGTTTGCTTATTAGGCTACTGAACTTCAAGTTTAGCTAGGCAAGATGAGAAAAATATACATATTTTTTCCATTTAGGATGCCCAAGAATATAATATATACATTTTCAGAAATGCTAAAATAGTTATGCAGGTAAGGTATTGGTTCTGGGACAAGCTCTTAAATATTTCAATAATGGTTTTAAGATAGACAGATGTTTAGTCTGATCAAAGAAAATACAGATTTAAAGAGCATCAATATTAAAAAAATCACTTTAAGTCAATTTTTCTTAAACTCTTACACCAGGTTTCCATAACAGCAAAGGAGTGTTTACCCGAGGGTTTTGGGAAGGTATAGCTGAAAGCTGAAAGTGGCTCTGTCACTTTATAGAGTCCCACCTGGATTTAAAGACTAGTATAAGAAGAGTAGGTTATAAAGGAATCGGAAAAATGGGGCTTTTTGGTAGATGCATGTGAATAAAGACCAGGTTGCATAAGTATGAAGAAAAATGAACATTTAATATATAGTGAAGGTATGATTGACGAAAATATTCTCCAAGAGAAATCAGTGTTGAGTGGGACCTTACAGTGGTTGAGCTTAGGTTGTAGCTATGCCAGCAAAGAGATAGAGATGTGAATTATCAAAGTGTAGTGGGTCAAGCAAGGAAGCTAAGCTAGTCCTCCACACAGCAGTTCAAATTATTGAGTTCTGGCAGGAAGTGGGCAAGAGTTCTCAAACGAGGTGAAATAGATCCTTAATGTTTCTCAGGAAATTTTCACGAGATTTTACATTCACCGAAATAGCTATAATGTTAAATTTTCTCCATAAAATACGTATATGAGTCTTAGTTAAATACATCTAGTTGTAGGATGGCCTGCTAAGTGTACTCAATATTGAAATGACTAATTTCTACTCACTGGTCTGCAGTGGGTACAGTCAAATGCCATAGCAAAAATACAAATAATTTCATGGTTACCATTAGTAAGTTGAGACAAATCAGCCAGGACTGTATTATACTAAAAATTTCAGCAGACAGCAGTGCTGATAATTGAGAAAGAGTGAAATAAGTACTTGATAATGTTATTAGTTATAGATGCTATTCTCTATTCATTAGGTAAAGTTTTGGTTTATATTAGTGACTCATAATATTAGAATACGTAGAGCATATAAACCATTCAGGTCAAACAAGTCTTTATCAGTGGCTTTACTCTTGCCTGAGTAAATATAAAGCTGTTTGTGTTGTTTTTCAGAATACTGAGGATATACTTCACACCTTGACTCAGCACACCAGGTCTGAACTTAACCTCAGTTTGTATTAATATAATTAAAAAATTGGTCTGAGGATATATAATAGTTGTTTTTATTAACTAGGTATGTCACAACTTGTGCCTTTGCACCCAATATCCTTTTACTTGCTACTGGTTCAATGGACAAAACAGTGAATATCTGGCAGTTTGACCTGGAAACACCTTGCCAAGGTTAGTGAGGATATCATGTGTAACCCAGTTCAGCACCATTTACCATTAAAATGAGAAATTCAGTAATTTTTTGACAAATTATTCATGTTGCTTTTCTCAATATAAAGCATACATACAAATTTAATATAATTTAAAAATAATTTTAGAGAACCTAGTGTTAAAGTTAACCCAGACATCTACATTAAAACTGTTGGTAAATGCTTTTGGATGCACATTCATGTATATCATACCTCCCACAGTTTTGTAAGCTCTTTATTTATACTCCATACTAATTTTTCAGATAAATATAGCCTAGAACAAAATAGAAATGATAGTTTTATCTTGTTGGTTTTATTTTTGGTTTTCTCAAGCAACATTGACACATAATTTAGGAGTTTTATTTTTATCACTGTCAGAATTAACCAATTAGTGGTGCTGATATGCAGATGACAGATCACATATAATACTTCTGCTGATATGAATTTTATATAATAAAATTTTTCTGGAGTGTAAAATGTTCCGAAAGAGTAGCATTTAATGTAGCATTAAATAATACTTTATACATAGTATTGTTTGATTTTTTAAAATTTCTTAAAGGATGTTAAAGTAGAAAACACAGACTTAAGAAAATTTCATTTACTTTTAGTACAAAGTGAGAATGTTGATAAAGGATGTACTTTTGCTTGTTGTTTTTTCACTTACTTTTTGTTTGTGGGGTTTGTTTGGTTTGTTTGTTTTTAAGCAAGGACCGCAGAAGATCACCCAAAGCAATTTACTGAAGATTGGTCAGAGGACGATGTCTCAAACTGGCTTTGCGCACAAGGTTTAAAAGACCTTGTTGGTATTTTCAAAATGAATAACATTGATGGCCGAGAACTGTTGAATCTTACAAAAGAAAGTCTAGCTGATGATTTGAAAATTGGTAAGACTAGTGAAAGTTAGGCAGTCTTAAAAACAACTTTTAATAATTTACTCTGTGATTGGTTTTAATTGCATTAATGGTTTCCTCTTAATATTCTAGCACAGCAGTAGTTCTGGTATATGTCTTTGCATAGAAGTATAGTATATTTTAGATTATGGAAAAGAAATGTTACATACTTTTTCTTTAGGTAATTAAAGCTATCATGTAACTGTAGTTTTTAAAATGTATATATTTTTAAAATTGTGATATAATTCACCCTTTTATAAGTGTACAGTGCAGTGACTATTCAAGTTGTATAACCATCACCATTATCTGATTCCAGAACATGTTCATCACTTCAGAAAGAAACTCCATTCCCATTAGCAGTCACTCCTATTCCTTGTCTCTCTAGCTCCTGGCAACCACTAATCTACTTTCTGTCTCTAAGGATTTGCCTGTTCTACATTTCATAAAATGTATGGCCTTTTGTGTCTGGCCTCTTTTGCATAGCATGTTCTCAAAGTTCATACATGTTGTAGTATATATTAGTACTTTACTTTATTATGGCCGAATAATATTCCATTGTATGAATTTATCACTTTTTGTTCATCCATTCACCGGTTGATTGGATTTAGATTGTTCCCATTTTTTAGATTTTATGAAAATTGCTTCTATGAACATTCATATACACATTTCGTGTAGGCATCTGTTTTCAGTTTTCTAGGGTGTTACCAAATCATATTGACAGAACTTGGCCGGAAGAAGATGTCTCCTTTTGTGATTGGGAGTTGGGAATGAGTGTTATTAAACTTAATTGCTCAGGAAGAAAAGACCCTTTACCAGCTTGAGGGCTAGTAGCCCCTCAGTATGGACAGTGAGCAACATTTGGCTATATTTACTATAACTCTGAAAAGGCATCTGGCTCTTAATAAGATGACAAATTAAATAGGCCATCAGCTCCTATACCCTCTTCCCCACCCCTTCCCCGTCCCTGGAAATGCTACATAATTGAAAACTGATGGAGTCTAGACACAAGTAACCATCAGATATACAAAACAAAACTCTGAAAACTGTCGAGTGGAATTGGTGGATCATATGGTAATTCTGTGCTTGCATTTGAAGAACTGCCAGGCAATTTTCCAAAGCAACTGGGCTTTTTTATGTTCTCACCAGCAGTGTATGAGGATTCCAATTCTCTGCATCCTCCTCAACAATTGTTTAGTTTTTCAATTATAGCCATCCTAGTGGTTTCTCATTGTGGTTTTGATGTGCATTTTCCTGATGACTAGTGATGTTGAACAACTTTCCATATGCTCATTGGCCATTTGTATATCTTCTTTGGAAAAATGTCTGTTCAGATTCTTTGCCCATTTTAAAAACTGGGTTATTTGTCTTTGAGTTGTTTATATAAATTTAGATACTAGACCCTTAATCAGATATATGATTTGTATATATTTTCTCCCATTCTGTGGTTTATCATTACGCTTTCTTGAAAGTGTCCTTTGATGCACAAAAGTTATAAATTTTGGTGAAGTCCAGTGTATCTGTTTTTTTCTGTCATTGCTTGTGCTGTAGGTGTCATATCTAAGAAACCCAAACCTAATCCTGAATCTTGAAGATTTACACCTGTGTTTCTTCTATGACTTTTATAGTTCTAGCTCTTACATTTAGGTGTGTGATCAATTTTGACTTAATTTTTGTATATAATGTGAGGTAAGGGTTTAGCTATATTCTTTCAGATGTATATATCCAGTTGTCCCAGCACCATTTGTTGAAAAGACTATTCTTTCCCCTTTAAATTATCTTAGCACCCTTGTTAAATATCAGTTGACCATAAATGTGAGGGTTTATTTCTGGACTCTCAATTCTATTTCACTGATCTATTTGTCTATCCATATGCTAGTGCCACAGTGTCTTAATTAACTATAGCTTTGTAGTAAGTGTTGAAATTGAAAATTGTGTGTCCTCCATCTCTGGATTTTTTTTCTCCACAGGATTGGTTTTGCTCCTTTAGGTCCCTTGGCATTTCCATATGAATTTTAGGATCAACTTGTCAAATTCTGCAAAAAAGCCACCTGACTTTGATGGGGATTATACTGAATTTCTACATCAATTGGGGGATTATTGTCATTTTAACAGTATTAATTCTTCTAATCCATAAGCATAGGATATTTTTTTGTTGTTGTTGTTGTACGTGGGCCTCTCACTGTTGTGGCCTCTCCTGTTGCGGAGCACAGGCTCTGGACACACAGGCTCAGCGGCCATGGCTCACGGTCCCAGCCGCTCCGTGGCATGTGGGATCTTCCCGGACCGGGCCACGAACCCGTGTCCCCTGCATTGGCAGGCAAACTCTCAACCACTGTGCCACCAGGGAGGCCCAGCACAGGATATTTTTATGTTTATTCAGGTCTTCTTAATTTCTTTTTCAACAGTGCTTTGTAATTTTCAATGCACAAGTCATTTTTTCTTAAGTGTACAATCCACTGGTTTTTAGTGTACTCATAGAGTTGTACAACCATCACCACTATCTAATTGCAGAACATTTTTTTTTTTTTTTTTTTTTTTTTTTTGCGGTACGCGGGCCTCTCACTGTCGTGGGCCTCTCCCGTTGCAGAGCACAGGCTCCGGACACGCAGGCTCAGTGGCCATGGCTCACGGGCCTAGCCACTCTGCAGCATGTGGGATCTTCCTGGACCAGGGCACAAACCCGTGTCCCCTGCATCGACAGGTGGGCTCTCAACCACTGCGCCACTAGGGAAGCCCTAATTGCAGAGCATTTTTATCCCCCCAAAAGAATCCCATTCTTCCCTCTTTCTAGCCTCTTGGCAACCACTAATCTATCTTCTGTAGAAATAGGATCTACCTATTTTGGACATTTCTTTTAAGTGGAACCATACAATATGTGGCCTTTTGTATCTGGCTTTTTTTATTTAACCTTTCAAGGTTCATCCATGTTTTTGTATGTGTAGGTACTTCCTTCCTTTTTATGACTGAATAGTATTCCATTGTATGGCTATACTACATTTTGTTTATCCACTTATCAGCTGATGGTCATTTCTACTTTTGGCTGTTATCAGTAATGCTGCTGTGAATATATATGTATGAGTTTTTGTGTGAGTATATTTTCATTTCCCTTGGATATATGATTAAAAGTAGAATAACTCTACATATACCATTTTGAGGAACTGGCAGACTGTTTTCCAAAGCAGCTGTACTATTTTACATTCCCACCAGCAGTGTGTGAGCTTTCCAATTTCTTCACCTCTTTGTCAACACTGGTTATTACCTATCTTATTGATTGTAGCCATTCAATAGATGTGAAGTGGTATTTCATTGTGGTTTTTGATTTGCATTTACCTAATGATATGGAGCATATTTTCGAGTGCTTATTGGCTGTTTGTGTATCTTCTTTGGTTAAAATTGGTTTGTCTTTTTATTGTTGAATTGTAAGAGTTGTTTTATTTGTTCTGGTTATTATCAATACATCCTTAGCAAAAACAGTTTGAAGTCTTAGTGTTGTGCTGTAATGAACATAATACTCAGACACTTATCAGTATGCTCTAGTAAAATCTTAATTAACCAGAAAGCTTAGGAAATAGGATGTCCATAGTGAATTTACTGTTAATGAGGAGTCAAAGAGCAAAAAAAGTGTTTGTTATAGAAAATCATTCTAAAGTATAGTAGTATACTTTCATTACATAGTAAATATAGTATGTGAACCTATTTAAGTGTCTTGGAAGCTTATGGCCTTTTAAGAAGTTAATAGAATGATGATTTTGTGAAAATAATTAGAATCACATGGTTTTGTACTCAGGCCATACTGTGAAAGTTATTTTTGTATCTCTAGTAACTTATTTCCTTTATAATTTATAGTTTACTCTTTCTTCCTGAAAGTAGGTAATAGAGTACAGGGTTTGTTTTTGTTTTTGTTTTTTTTAAAGTTCTGGTGAATTTAGCATGTTCATTAGCTGATTTTTCACTACTCTCTCAGAATAAGTTTTAGCAATACCTTATCACACAGAAGCACATGACAATATAAAATAATAATTTCAGATTTCAACAAAGGATGTTTCAAAACATAAGAGAGCATAGTAAAAACAATAGGAATAGAATTCTGTCCCAATAGCCCGATAAATAAAGTATAAGAAATTCTTACAGGATTCAATTAATGGCCTGAAATAGTTTTTGAAGGTGAGTCTCGGGTCTAGTAGTTATGATCATTTTGATGTTCAGTGAAATAAGTTTTGGAACTACCAGGCTCAAGCCAAAATTGAAATATAATTTAAATAAGTCTGCTGTGGTCTAAAAGCTGAATTAGGAAGATCATTATAAACGGAGACAAGAACATTGCATACTCTCTAGTAAGGAATTTGCTTTGTGTTTGTGCTTAAGATTTGGAAAGTTAGCAAATACAACAAATTAAATACAGAATAAATTAGTAAATAAGTTTTTAAATAAATTTTTAAATAAATAATTTTTTCCTACATCATTCTATAGTATCAATATTTTAAAGTGTTTGCACAGTTATGAAGGGTCAGCAGGCTAACATTAATCTTCTACAAGTGCTACTTTAAGCTACAGTGGATTTCTGTTAGTCTTGAGTTTTAAGAAAAGTAGGCTCTTCCTTTAAACAGTAAATTGGAGTGTAATAGAGAAGTGAAATTGGGTCTAGAAAAAAATGTATTAAGAGGCAAACTGATGAGTATGTGATAATGAATTTTACTCTTGTGATGCATAACTATTTTGCTTGCATTTGCTTTTGTAGTACAGCTGTTAAAACGGTTCCTATGTCAATGTGAATAAATATGAATTTAACACTCATCATATGAAGGAAGTTAATTTTCAGTGAAGTATATTGGAGTGTTAGGGAACAAAGTAGTGTATCTATTGCGTTTGACACTTAAAAATTATTTTTAAGAGTCATGCAGTCTATCAAATGTTTTCAATGAGCCTTTGTAAATATACAATAAAGGAACCTTGTATAGATTTGAGTATCTGTTGGAACCTGGTGTTTTAACCTAGAGTAATAGTCCTATTCTAGGATAGTGTTAATGAAAACTAAGGGTACAATAGACATACAGTCTTAGGTAGGAAATAACTCCTTATATCTAGTGCTATATTTGCATAAGGAATATCCAGAAAGAGATTACAGGTACAAGAGATCCTTGATATTAAGAGAGGTATGTCTTAAAACATATGTGTATCCATGAATTTGTGAACTCTATGACAGCCTTTAATATTGCAACCAAAAGGCATAAAGTATGAAGATAAAGGGCAAGAAAGTCTCTTTGAGATGTGATACTAGGCAAGCAGTAAGTCCACTAACTAGCCACTGGATTTTCATCTGCAATTTGGCTTCAAGTTATATCCAGGCCTCGGGAATATTGCAAACTGCTAGCTATCCTGGAGTTTGGAATTGCTGTAGATGATATAATGGTAGAACCATGGAATGACAAATGACAAGGAACTATTGTATATCGTGTCAGTCCTTACCGTTATATTCAACTAATTATCAGTCATAGATTCTTAATTGGGAATGAGGTTTCTTCAAAGTGTTCCCTCTTCTTTTTGCTCTTGTCTTTCCAAGAAACCATGAAAGCACATGAGACATTTTTATCATTTTCTGCTTTAAAAATTATAATATCAAATTATTATATCAAATGGTTTTTAAAACTTTATGTGCCAGCTTTCTTAACATCCTCAGATTTTGGAAGTTTCATGTTTCAAATCCTAGTAATACTTCCTTATGTAGACTTTCACTTGTTGCCTAACTGCATATACTGTTAAGTAACAAGAACATTTACCATTTTTTCTTTACACACAATTGAAGTGAAATAGTCCTTTCACATGTATAGGCCTGTGCACTGACCTGCTGTTAGAGTGGGCATAACCCTTCCAGTTCACATGCTGCTCTTAAATTGGCCTGCCCCACTTTCCTGAGAGTAGGGCATTTCGGGGTCTCCATTCCTCAGGCCTATCAGATGTCCTGTTGCTTCCACATCGATATCAATCACAGGTCTTATGGATGTTGGTGGTTTATTCTCTTCCACTTATATAGCGGGATTCATGAGGATACCCTGCTACCTTGTTTTTTGGAAGTGTCGGTGGGATTTGATTTTGCTGTCTTGTTGCTCTGTTTTTATGTGGGGATTCAGAGAAGTTTAAAAATTATATTGCTTCTATCACCATCTTCTCTAAATCCTTTAAAAAATCTCTACTGTACCTATAGTTTTGTGTCCCTTTTCTTTCCTAATATAGTTTTATGTCTTGTTTTCTCTTAATCTTTCAAGTCAGAAGTTTGTTAATAAATTTTATTTTTAAAAAGTAAAAAGTTTTTAAGTTTTTTTCTCCAAGAAACCAGCTTTTGATTCTGTTGTTCTGTCTCAGGGCATTGCAGAGGTGATTCAGTGACCAGCCCAATGGGCTGTAATTGTTAGTCCAGGCCATAGCGCTCTCTTGTTACCCTGCCTCCAGCTCATGCTGGTGTTGCTGCCTTAGCAATGATATTTACAGGACAAAGTTGGGGAGAGTGAAGGCTACAAGTAGAAAGGTATTTCTTCCATTTGTGTACACAAATCTCTGCTTCAAGCTGTTTCCCATCCCCTACTCTGGAACCTAGTTAGTTCTGTTTCCTTGAGGGTTTTCTGAATTTTGTTTTGTATTTTTGATAGTTATTTGTGTCCAGACTATCAATTCTCAATTATGTAGCATTTACAGGGATGGGGAAGAGGGTACAGGAGGTGATGGCCTATTTAATTTGTCATCTTATTAATAGCCAGATGCCTTTTCAGAGTTATAGTAAGTATAGCTAAATATTACCCATTGCCCATACTGAGGGTTTACTAGCTCTCAGCTGGTAAGGGTCTTTTCTTTCTGAGCAGTTAAGTTTAATAACACTCACTGCCAAACCCCAATCACAAAAGGAGATGTCTTCTTCTGGCCAAGTTCTGTGGATATGATTTGGTAACTGCTTGCCTGAGGGCATTCTTAAATGACATTAAAATTAGACAGGGGTAACAGACAATTTAACCTTATCCAGTACATTTTGAAATAGGGTTTCTATATTCTTTATTAATAAGCATTCTAAATATTGGCACACATGTATATTTGACCGGGTAATATATATATTGTTTTCAGAATATTAAATACCTCTATATCCTTATTACATGTTGTATAATTTTCCCCTTAAATGATATGACTTAATTATGTTAGTTACGTAATTATTAATGTGTCTAATTAGTCTAATTATAAATGTGGTGCTTTTAAAAAATTGTTTTAAAAATCCTCAATTTTGTTTCAATGAATTACATAGGAGGTAAGTCATAGGAAAGCAGTAAAGCAGTTCCTAAGATGTAGGCAGCTGCTAGGTTGACTTGCCATACTTGCATAGATATGGTCAATGAGTCCAAATAGATTTGAACAGTTTATTACTCATGGCGCAGCAGGCAGCATGAGCTTCATATTTAAATTGGTTGCCCTTTCCACCTAGGCTTGTGGGGGCAATTTGTGTTGGTGTCATAGCTGAGGAACCCTGAGTTTATGAAACCCCCCCCCACCAATCTTATAAAGGGACTGCTAGCAAACTAGTCCAAGAGGAAGCCATTATCTTTGTACGTGTCAGGAAACAAATCTGCCCTCAGACTGGGAGGGAAACACTATCTCTAGCTTCCAAGGAAGTTTGCAGACATCCTTGAAAAGATTACTAGACAAAAGGTGTCATAAGGTGTGTATAAACACGTGGAGAATTACCTTCCAGTCAGAAAGAAAGCTGATTTGGCTTTTTATGGGAACTCTGAGGTGTTCTGAAATGTAGTTCTTTTTTCCTACCCACCCTACACCCCCCAAGCACCTCCACCTAAAATAGAACTGTCAGCTAGATTATCTAAAAATATAAACAGATAATCACACTAAACTTCCTAAACTTCATTGTATTAATCTTCCTGAAATTAAAAACTAAGATAACTTTAAAAACTTAAGATAAAAGTAATACAAATGAATGAAACGTGTAGAGTCTTGGACAAACATATGAACTTTATTTGAGATTGTGTTTCATATGAGAATCAGCAAATAATATACCCAATTTCATAATGTTTAAAAATATAAGATGGAATTTTTATATTGTCAAATTGAACATCTTTAAAAATGATTTTTAGGAAATTTTTAGTTGTCTAAATAAATTAACCTATAATAATGAGCCTTTTCTGATTTTGTGTGGTATATTAGTATTTGGGCAATCTGAAATTCTTGAGGAACTTTGAGAGTCTAAAGTTATTTAGAATAAACTTGCTGAGTTATTTTAATCACACAGTATTCTATACTACAAATATTGATTAAAGAATTTATAAAGAAAAGGTTCCATGTGGTAAAACAGAATGTCTGAAGATTTTTGGTTGTAGTAGATGAAATTTCTCTTTGTTTGCTGAAGACTTGCATAAAGGTTAGAAGTAATAGTTCTCCAGCCCTAACAGAATAATTTCTTTTCAGAATCTCTAGGGCTGCGTAGTAAAGTTCTGCGGAAAATTGAAGAGCTCAGGACAAAGATGAAAACCCTTTCCTCTGAAATTCCTGATGAATTTATATGTCCAATAACTAGGGAGCTTATGAAAGATCCTGTCATCGCATCAGGTATGTGATGCTATTCTAAGTTCCAGGGCATATTATGTACTAAATGAATAAATAATGTAGACAGTTCACAGAAGTTTGTTTAAATGTGAAACTTTTTCAAAATTTATTTCTCATAAGTTCTTTTTTTTTTTCTTTTTAAAAATTCCTTAGATCTGAGGTGAACTATTGAACATTGTATATTTCTTAATGAATAAAATTGGATGGAGCAGGTTTGGATAAGATTAGAGACAAAAGAAATAATCTTGACAAGCCTTACTTAAACTTGTGAAATATGTATTTAGTTACTAGAATGTATAGTTAAAATATTGTTTTTTAAGATAGACTGTTGAGATCTATTATATTTATTTTGTCTATCATGAATTTAAACAACCTTACAGAAATAAGAATTTAAAGGTTATAAAGTTACATCATTTCACATTAATTTCTAATCTTTGTCAATGAACACAGACACACATACTTTACATAATTGTAATCGGTGAATCCATATTGTGCTTTTTATTTTTAAGACTAATATACATTTCTGAATATTGACTTAGTCTACATAATTTTCAGTGTTAATAACTTTATTCCATTGGAGCTCTGTGCCACAATTTGACTCTTCTACTATTTCGTGTATGTATATGTTTGAAAAGCTTTATATTGTTAATAGCATTGTGCTGATATCTTGGTACTCCTTTCATTGTGTTGTTACCATTACTTAGGGGTATTTTCATGACATATGTTCCCCAAAGCAGAATTAACCGATCAGAATATATATATATATATTTTTTTTTTTTTGGCGGTACGCGGGCCTCTCACTGCTGTGGACTCTCCCGTTGCGGAGCACAGGCTCCGGACGCGTAGGCTCAGCAGCCATGGCTCATGGGCCCAGCCGCTCTGCGCCATGTGGGATCTTCTTGGACTGGGGCACAAACCCGTGTCCCCTGCATCGGCAGGCGGACTGTCAACCACTGCACCACCAGGGAAGCCCCCAGAATATTTTATGGATGTTAAAAAGAACAGTTTTGATAGTTCTTGTTAAATTTTTATTAGATTGTTTTCTAGGAAAAAATAGTTTAGAATGCTACCAGAAATGTATGTAAGTGTACCTGTTTTTCCAGTTTTGTGATCATTGAATTTTAGAACTCATTTATTTTTGCAAGTTTAATACTTGTTTGAAACTGTATTCCTTTTTTTTAAATTAATTTCTTTTTTGCTGAATTTACATTTATTTACTCTGATTTTGTTTGTTATGCCAGTAGTGTATTTTTACAGTTAAACTAAATTATTGTTAAACAGTAAGTAAAAATCTTAAAAGTCGTTAAGAAAGTGTGCACATGTGGGCCCCTTTCTATTTGTTTTTATTTCCCAGAAATCTTTAGACTGCCTCATTTCTGGTCTGGATCATTTATAGTGGAGGCAAAATTCCACTACAGTGGAGGTGTAATGGAGTGTAGTCTGAGAGTGAGTTGATGGTTGATGGGGGTGATAATAAACTGGAACTTACGTCCTAACCTTACCCAGCTCATCAGAGAGACAGGTATACCAGATTTGGGGAAATTTGTAATTAGATGCAGGCATTAATTATTTAAATACATCTTTTCTTAATTGTAGTAAAATACACATAAAATTTACTGTCTTAACCATTTTTAAGTGTATTACACTATTGTGTAACCAGTCTCCAGAATATTTTCTTCTTGCAAAACTGAAACTATCTATATACCTTCTTGTTTCTATGAATTTGACTATTCTACATATCTCATATAAGTGGAACCATACAGTGTTTGTCTTCAGCTTATTTCATTTAGCATAATGTCCTCGAGGTTCATCCACATTGTAGCCTGTGTCAGAATTTCGTTTTTAAAGCTGAATAATACACCATTGTATGTGTACACATCTTGTTTATCCATTCATCCATCAATGGATGTTTGGTTTCCTTCCAGCTTTTGGCTATTATGAATAATGCTGCTTTGAACAGGGATATACAAATATCTCTTTGAGTTGCTGCTTTCAATTCCTTTGGGTAAATGCCCAGAAGTCAAATTGCTAGGTTATATGGTAATTCTTTTTTTTTTCTTTTGTATTTATTTTTCACATCTTTATTGGTGTATAAATGCTCCACGGTGTTTGTGTGCCGCACAACAAAGTGAATTGGCTATATGTATACATATATCACCATATCCCCTCCCACTTGAGCCTCCCTCCCACCCTCCCTATCCCATCCCTCTAGGTCGTCACAGAGCACCAAGCGGATCTCCCTGTGCTAAGCAGCAGCTTCCCATTAGCCATCCATTTTACATTTGGTAGTGTATATATGTCAGTGCTACTCTCACTTCATCCCAGCTTTCCCTTCCCCACCCCATGCCCTCAAGTCTTCCCTCAAGTCTGTTCTCTACGTCTGCATCTTTATTCCTGCCCTTCCACTAGGTTCATCAGTACTGCTTTTTTAAATTCCATATATATGCGTTAGCATATGGTATTTGTTTTTCTCTTTCTGACTGTCTTCACTCTGTATGACAGATTCTAGGTCCATCCACCTCACTACAGATAACTCAGTTTTGTTCCTATTATGGGTGAGTAATATTCCATTGTATATATGCCACATCTTTATCCAGTCATCTGTTGATGGACATTTAGGTTACTTCCATGTCCTGGGTATTGTAAATAGTGCTGCAGTGAACATTGTGGTACATGTCTCTTTTTGAATTACGGTTTTCTCAGGGTATATCCCCAGTAGTGGGATTGCTGGCTCATACGGTAGTTCTATTTTTAGTTTTTTAAGGAACCTCCATACTGTTCTCCATAGTGGCTGTATCAATTTATATTCCCACCAACAATGCAGGAGGGTTCCCTTTTATCCACACCCTCTCCAGCATTTATTGTTTCTAGATTTTTTTGATGATGGCCATTCTGACTGGTGTGAGGTGATACCTCGTTGTGGTCTTGATTTGCATTTCTCTAATGATTAGTGAAGTTGAGCATCTTTTCATGCATTTGTTGGCCATCTGTATGTCTTCTTTGGAAAAATGTCTATTTAAGTCTTCTGCCCATTTTTGGACTGGGTTGTTTGTTTTTGTGATATTGAGCTGCATGAGCTGCTTGTATATTTTGGAGATAAATCCTTTGTCAGTTGCTTCATTTGCAAATATTTTCTCCCATTCTGAGGGTTCTTTTTGTCTTGTTTTTGGTTTCCTTTGCTGTGCAAACGCTTTTAAGTTTCATTAGGTCCCATTTGTTTATTTTTGTTTTTATTTCCCTTTAGGAGATGGGTCAAAAAGGATCTTGCTGGGATTTATGTCAAGAGTGTTCTACCTACGTTTTCTTCTAAGAGTTTTATAGTGTCTGGCCTTACATTTAGGTCTTTAATCCATTTTGAGTTTATTTTTGTGTATGGTGTTAGGGTGTGTTCCAATTTCATTCTTTTACATGTAGCTGTCCATTTTACCCAGCACCACTTATTGAAGAGACTGTCTTTTCTCCATTGTATATCCTTGCCTCCTTTGTCTAAGATAAGGTGACCATATGTGCGTGGGTTGATCTCTGGGCTTTCTATCCTGTTCCATTGATCTATATTTCTGTTTTTGTGTCAGTACCATACTGTCTTAATTACTGTAGCTTTGTAGTATAGTCTGAAGTCAGGGAGCCTGATTCCTCCAGCTCCGTTTTTCTTTCTCGAGATTGCTATGGCTATTCGGGTCTTTTGTGTTTCCATATAAATTGTAAAATTTCTTGTTCTAGTTCTGTGAAAAATGCCATAGGTAATTTGATAGAGATTGCATTGAACTACCCTGCTTTGGGTAGTATAGTCATTTTCACAGTATTGATTCTTCCAATCCAGCAGCATGGTATATCCCTCCATCTGTTTATGTTACCTTTGATTTCTTTCATCGGTGTTTTATAGTTTTCTGAGTACAGGTCTTTTGTCTCCTTAGGTAGGTTTATTCCTAAGTATTTTATTCTTTTTGTTGTGATGGTAAATGGGTTTGTTTCCTTAATTTCTCTTTCTGATCTTTCGCTGTTAGTGTATAGGAATTCAAGAGATTACTGTGCATTAATTTTGTATCCTGCAACCTTACCAAATGCATTAGTTCTTGTAGTTTTCTGGTGGCATCTTTCAGATTTTCTTTGTATAGTATCGTCATTGAAAACAGTGACAGTTTTACTTCTTTTCCAATTTGTATTCCTTTTGTTTCTTTTTCTTCTCTGAATGCTGTGGCTAGATCTTACAATACTGTGTTGAATAATAGTGACGCGAGTGGACCTCCTTGTCTTGTTCCTGATCTTAGAGGAAATGCTTTCAGTTTTTCACTATTGAGAATGACGTGGCTGCTGGTTTGTCATATATGGCCTTTATTATGTTGAGGTAGGTTCCCTCTATGCCCACTTTCTGGAGAGTTTTTATCATAAATGGGTGTTGAATTTTTTCAAAAGCTGTTTCTGAATCTATTGAGATGATCATACGGTTTTTATTCTTTCATTTGTTAATATGGTGTATCACATTGATTGATTTGAATATATTGAAGAATCCTTGCATCCCTGGGATAAATTGCACTTGATCATGCTGTACAGTCTTTTTAATGTGTTGTTGGATTCTGTTTGCTAGTGTTTTGTTGAGGATTTTTACATCTATATTCATCAGTGATGTTGGTCTGTAATTTTCTTTTTTTGTAGTATCTTTGTCTGGTTTTGCTATCAGGCTGATGGTGGCCTTGTAGAATGAGTTTGGGAGTGTTCCATCCTCTGCAGTGTTTTGGAAGAATTTGAGAAGGATGGGTGTTACCTCTTCTCTAAATGTTTGATAGAATTCCCCTGTGAAGCCATCTGGTCCTGGACTTTTGTTTGTTGGAAGATTTTTCATTACGGTTTCAATTTCATTACCTGTGATTGGTCTGTTTATATTTTCTCATTCTTCCTGGTTCAATCTTGGAAGGTTGTACTTTTCCAAGAATTTGTCCATTTCTTCCAGGTTGTCCATTTTATTGGCATATAGTTGCTTGTAGTAGTCTCTTAGATCTTTTGTA